TATAACATTTATAGAGGTGATCGTGTTGGTAGAGTTGATGGTGGAGTTAAGACATCAATAAAAAATACACTGTCTTCGACTCTCCGTGAAGTTCCGTCAGAGTTTTCTAGTTTAGAAATGGTTGTTGTTGAAATATCAAACCTAAAGTCTTACTTATAAACTGCTATCGCCCTTCTGATAACCATCAACAATTTATTCAGCTTTTCGCTGGCTTTCTAAGATCCTTGGATTTTGGTTATCACTACTCTGTTATCGTAGTAGGTGATTTTAACTTCCCTCGCATACAGTGGATAGAAGGGTCAGGCTTTGCATCATCTGGTGACGATTCTTCTTTTGCAAATTTGTTGATGGATTTTTATTTATTTCAATCTGTAGAGCAACCCACTAGAAGTAACAACTACTTGGATCTCGTTCTAACAAACACCCCTTCCTTTATGTTCGAGCCTAAAACTGGTCCCCAGTTTAGAGAAAGTGGACTTTCATCGGATCATTTTCCTGTCTCTTCGACTTTGCTGTGGATGTTAATTTTAAAGACATTTCTCGCCTGAAGCGTTTCGACTTCAAAAATGCAAATTTTGAGTTACCTAAACAAGTTCTTCTGTTAACCCTACTCAGCTATGGTATTCACAGCGGTATTCACAGCGTTAATTCCTTAGAAGATCTTGATTCTCTTTGGAATTTGTGGAATGACTTTGTTTTTACTGCTGTAGACACCCTCGTCCCAAAGGTAAACTATAAACATTCAAATCGTCCTCCATGGATATCAAAGGATTTCAACAACAAGGAGACCTTATGGCGGCGTGTTAGGAACTCAAAATCTCCTCAACAAGTGGAAAAATTCCGCAAGTTAAGGCAACAAATTAAATATCGACTTCGTTATAAAAGGAGAAATTATGTTAAAGAGATATCAAATGAAACATATAGGACTTCTAAGCGTTTTTGGTCGTTCTTTTCTTTCAAATGCAAGAAAAAGCCAATACCTGACAAGGTAACTTACAATGGTTTCTCATTCTCTGATGATCGTGGGCGGGCAGAAGACTTTGATGGCTTTTTAAATTCTATTTACAAGGATCATTCGAAGTGTGTAATTGATCTGAACGCACCAATTCTCCCAGGCGTTACTGAACAATTATCTCATGTCACAGTGTCAGTTGATGAAGTTATAGACATCCTTCGTTCATTGGACACTAAAAAGGCAATCGGACATGATAAGCTGCCCACCATCGTGTTCAAAGAATGTGCTGACCCACTTGCTCCATCTATAACGGCGATTATTAATTTTAGTTTAAACAAAGGCTTTCAGTTATCAGATTGGAAAAAAAGCAAATGTTCCTCCTATTTTTAAAAAAGGGAAAAGAGAGTTTGTCGAAAATTATCGCCCCGTGTCGTTACTTCCAGTGGTCTCTAAAGTTCAGGAGCGGTGTGTGGCCTGCCGCCTTGTCCTTCACGTTAAGAAGATCTTGTATCCTTTCCAAGATGGTTTTCAA